TTTTTCTTCCTCCATCTACAGGAGTCCCTTTCCCTGAGGTTGATTGTCCTCTCAGTAGCCACTGAGCCCCTGGCCTCTGGGGTACTGACCACCCACTAGAGCCTTCTGAAAGGAGCACCCAAGATCCTGTCCCAGCCACCAGGTCCCCTGAGACTCCCTAGAGGCCCAACTGAGCCAGGTGGCTTTCCCAGCGCAAGAAGTCAAGTTCTAATAAAAGAGATCCGGGGCCCCCTAGTTATTAAATGAACGCATATGTCTGAAGGGGCCCAGCCGGGTGCCAAATACAGCTAGACCTGGGAGGAAGCAGCAAAGCCATCAGCCGTCCTGGGGGACACAGTAGGGTGGCAGATCTCCTACTGTGTTAGTGGAAGGACCATGTGCTTCTTAATGGGGTTGAAGGACTTGCCCCCTGTTGAGTGGCATTTGAAATGTGTGGCATTTCTGCTTTTGTAATAAGTATTATAAAGTGCTGTTTGTTAGCTTGAAAAGAAGGAGGGGGAAGCTTTCAAAATCCCAGCTTCCCCATGGGAACTTCGATTTGCTTTATCTTTAAAGAGTTCTATCTCTCTGTGTCCAGCGCATTGTTAGTGTGCAGACATTTACTTGTGGAACACTCCGTGATGATGGTCTTGAAGTCTAACCAGTGATCCAGAAGAGACCAGCAAGGATTAGAGAATGTGGGCCTCCTTACATAAAGACGTAAATCTTCTATTATAGGAATATAGGTTTCTCCCCCAGAGATCTAGAAGCAAAGTTACATTTTTGCTAATAACTTGGCTGTGGAGCTGCATGCCAAGCAGCCCTTTTTTAATACTGCTTTTTTGAGTCACTCATATGTTCACTTGTGCATTTGTTTGTGTGTTAAATAAACAGGACCGAGCACAAGATCTAGGCTAGGGCCTTGGGGGAAACGCTGGAGATACTGTGATGAGTAGGACCCTGCCCCTGCTCAAACTAGAATGGTAGGAAAAGCCTGCAGGATAGAGGGAATGTGAGGTAGTGGCTCACCTTGTGCCCCTGGCAGTCACACTTGAGAAGACTCTGATGCTTTCTCTGTAATCCTTTTGGCCTTCCAAGCAGATGGTCTCACTGAAACTATTGCAACTCAATGGGCATACCTGTATTCCAATAAAACTTTATTAACAACAACAAAAAAGAAGTAGGACAGATTTGGCCCATGAGCCAGAGTTTGCTGGCTATTGGACTCAAACCTTATTTGAGAAGGTTCCTGTGGGTTTTCTCTGTTAAGTTATGTAGCTGTGGCCAGGCATGGTGGTGCAGACCTGTAATCCCAGCACTCAGGAAGCTGAGGCTAGAAGATTACTACAAGCTGGAAGCCAGTCTGGGTTACATAGTAAGTTCAAGGCCAGCCTGGTCTTCATAGTAAAGAAAAGAAATACAATTGTATGTGGCATACTATTTGATTAGCCCAGAGACTATGATGTTAGAAGCTAGTTTTGAAGATTGAAAGTTGCTAAAACAGACGTCATAGTAGTACCACTTTTGTAACCAGTTTTATTTCTAACTTTCCGGTTTTGGGGCATTCCTTCTTCCACTGATTCTGCATTGACTCATACTCCCCTCCCTTGCTGATCACACGCATTGTGTATGTATGCATCATGGTTTAAATGCCTGCTTTGATGGGTATCATCAGCACTGTGTGGAGATGGGTAGAAGATGGCCTGAGCACATGGATCAGGACGTCACATCCTGCAGCTGGTAGGGGGAGTGTGGGAAAGGGGGCTACTGTTCCCAGAGGCTTCTCAAAGATGCCTGCTGGCACCTCAAGAAGGGCAGGAGGGGCAGACATGTGCTAGAGAGGCAGGGGGTATGGGTGTTTGTGACCATGTGATGCCTTCAGATAATGACATACCAGGATTGCAGGGGAAGTGGCAGGCAGAACAAAGCAGAGCAAGGTGGCACCCCCTGGACTGCCCAGGAATCTGGCCCCCATTGAAACTGACGTCTTAGAAAGGGTGGCCCAGCAGGATGGGAAGGACAGGGACATCTGGCCTTGGGCCAAGCCTCTGCCCTTCTCTGTTGTCCTTATCATTTTGGTTCTACATCTGAATTGTAGACCACATCCAGCAAAATAGAAGGCTGAGGGTACCAGACATCCATTCCCTAGTGGCAGGTTAGGAACCCACAATGAAACATTGGCCATGGGGCCTCGGAAGAGTCTCTCATCCAAGGAGGATGGAGATTCGAGGTCTCACTGGCCCTTCAGTGCAGTAGCATAGCTGTCATTTTCCTGGATTTTCGCTGACATCATGCCAGGAACTCTGTGGGCAAAGCAGCTTGGCTGCCTCTTGGTGCACTTTTCCCTACTCTACTGCCCATCCAGAGCCCAGAGACAGCTTTTTTGTTACCCTGGGCAGCATCCCAGTCTTGTCAATCCTCTTCTGTTCCTCTCACTCACAAGGGAGAAACACTATGAGGCCAGAGCCACTGCTCTGACCAGCACTGACTCTATAGCAGCTCACGTGGCCAAGATCACACCCCAGTCACATGGTACCACAGTACCCACAGGGTCTGGGAAGCCTAGACCCCTGTGAATGTGTCCAGGGTCAGCAAGGCAGGCAGACAGACTGAAGTGAACATGCCAGGCACAGCAGCCAGGGCGACAGACCAGGAGCACTCTCCAGAACCGCAACACCCAGGACCCCAGCCTTCCTTCAGAGGAGAAGTCAGAAAGGTGAGCTACAGGGTGAGAGGTGGCAGAGAAAATAAGTTGCTTTGCAAAGGCAAACAAGTGTCCACAATCAGACCTTGGGGGCTTAGAGCATAAATTAAATGTGCCAGGCACCTGGCTCCCCTCACTTGAGTACAGAGGAGCTAGGAAATAAAAAGCACAGGAGTGGCCCCTGCTGCAGAGCCAGGACGATGCGTGGTGCTGAGGACGGCTGCAGCAGCCCAGGGGCACTCTCCCTTCTGCCTCCAGCCACTCAGCCTACGAGGCATCTTAACCCTCGGTCCAGTTTGGCTGCCTTGCTTCTCTGGAATCTGCAGCTGCTGCTTACCTACTCTGACCTCCAGCTCTTTCTCCACTGTTTTCGGCCAACATCCTACAGTTTAATTTAATGTTTCTTTCCTAACAGAAGTAGAATTCACATAATATAAAATTCACCATTTTAAAGAGTACAGTTCACAAGTTAATACATCCATCCCCTCTATCCAGTTCTAAAACATTTTCGTTACCTTAAAAAGAGGTCCAATGCCTAATAGCCTCTCCCCACCCTTTCCTCTCCCCAACCCTCGGCAGCCAGGGCTCTGAATCCTGTCTCTATGGAAGAGGCCCTGTGGGTATCTCAGAAAGAGAACTGTATGGCTCATGGACTTCAGGCTCTGGCTTCTTTGACTCAGCAGAATGTTTTGAGCTCCATCCACATGAGGGTCTGTGTCAGGGAGCTGCTCTTCTCTATGGCCAAATGATGTTTTCTTGTGCTGGTAGTGTAGACTATATGTGCATCTGTGTCCAGTGGACACGTGGCTGTGCCCATCTTTGGGCTGCGGACCTATGTGTACAAAAGTTTGTTCATGACCCCGTTTTCAGTTCTGGATTTATACTAAATGTGGAAAAGCAGAGTTGTATGGGGCTTTCTTCATCTAGTTCATTGAGGAGCCATCAACTACTTTCCTGATTTTAGTTTCAAGTATTTAGAGCTTTGCACTTAGTTTCTGTATTCTTCAGGAAGCAGCCACCAGCCTGTGTGCACTGTCCCCTCTGGACTCTGAAGTTTGCGAAGGTCATCTTGAATTCTCAGGCCTCCCGCTATGAGTTGGCTGCCTGCCAACTTGGTTTCCTCTACAAACTTAATAAACTTGATTCCTGGTCTGTCATTTAAGTCATTTATGAAGTGTCAAATGCCAGAGCCCTGGCTGATCCTAGCTCGACCTCAGCTTGTTTGGCCCCACATGCTCTGTGTGTGTCCTCTGGGTCCCCAGTACCACACAACCATATGAGGCCTGGAATATTCCTGCAGCAGGTACATAATCTGAGTAGAGGAACTCTCAGGGCCCTCTGGCTGGCCTGAAGACGCTGTGTCCCTCTTGTGCTCTCTGGCTGGGATCGGCTGGAAAGCATCTGCAAAGTGGAGGCAGGGTGTGGTCATACTGGTGTGAGCGGAAGGAAAAGCCACATTGGACATGTGGGTTTCACCAACAGAAAAGCTCGAGGCAGAGTGAGAGGGGAGGCTGGGGACAGGGGTCACAGGAAGTGGAAATGTCTTTTGAGCAGGTGGACAGGAATGATGATCACAGAAGGGGATAAAAGGAATAAAACTAGCAAAAGACAACATTTGGCAGGTCCCAGGGCTTGGGAGAGTTAGTCTCTGGGGCTGCACAGAGGGCATCTCAGAGAGCTTCTGTGGCAGGCTGGGATCAACTAGGTCACTTCTGTTGGGTCAGCGCTGCACGCAGGCACAGAAGTCCACCAAGCATAGCACCAAGGGCAGAACCTATGTGCTTCTGTGTATGAGACCTTCCTTATCCATGGCCAGTAAGGAGTCTTGGCAGTTGAATTTGGGGCAGAGTATATGAAGGCAGAAGTGGGGAGAGAATAAGTTCCTGGGTCAGTGTGTGGTGGAAGCAGCTCTGGAAGCAGACCCCAAGTAAAGATGCCTGTGCCCATGGCTTGTCATGTCCCATGTGGGATTCTGGCTGAGTCTCTCTGGATCTCTGTAAGTCCTGACTTGTCAAGTGAAAGAAAGGACAAGACAGGGTAGATGGTCCTCTCCATCACCAACTGTCTGTAAGCCACAGAGACACCCTCAGTTCCCACACTTGTGCAGCCCAGTTCCTGACTGTGAGCTTTGAACTAAAACCCACTCAGACTTGGTGGTAGGAAGAACAAGAGCCTATATCTCCAAGGCATAGAAGAATATGTGTAAGACCAAGCTTGTCAAGGTGTGAAGGCCATGGTGGTTCTGTCCAGGCAGGTGCACCAGGGCAGCCTCAGTCCCTGCAGTGTGTCCAGCCAGCCTCAGGCTCCCTCTCTATAGGTCGGTGCCATCGGCGATGAGGAGGAGTGGGTCTGCCTCTACGAGGAGGAGAATGAGCCCGATGCCCAGATGTTGGAAATCCCAAACCTCACACCGTACACCCACTACAGGTGAGAGCATCTTGAGTAGGTGGCTTCTGTTGACAAGAACAAACCCAGTTGTGTATATAAATTAGAAGTTCTGAAAATAGCAATAGATAGTAAGCCAAAACCTTAAGGAGCAGTCAGGACACGCAGTTGAGTTTGACTATGTTATTTCCATCAGTACTAGACCACAGAGTATCTTATAGAAAGGGCTCTCCATTGTATTCAGCATGATAACTGAGAACCAAGAATGCCATGGAGATGTGGCACTTTTCTTTACTGAGATCTCCAACCTCTTGGGGCCATTAACATGCTGTGTGCAAGCAAAGCAGATGTCCTAGGAATATCCTTCTGCCTCCCTCTGCCAGGACCCAGGCATTGCTAGTCTCACCAATCAAGCACTTAACATGCCATTTAACCTTTTGCTTCTTGATCCTGAAACTTATCCAAGCAGTAAATCCTTGGCCTTAACAAAGGGTAAAGTGATCATGAGCTGTTAGTGATGTTATAACTTCCCGTAAGAGCACTGAAGGAGATGAAATTTCCAGTTATCACCAGATGTTGAGTTTGATAATGTCATTGTTCTGCCAGGATGGATACATTTCATGAGATCAGGGAATGGAAGAATAAGAATTAGTAATTCAGGGAGTAAAAGGTGAAATTACATCTCGTGAAGCACATTTTCTCAGTACGATATCAAAGTTAGAGTTTAAAAAAAAAACCTAGTAAGAGGCACGTTTTAGCATGTATTCATTTTTTAACATCTTTTTTAAGCATAAGAGCAGATGAATCAAGACATATTATACTCGTTTTTAGAGAAAAACATTAGCTCAAAATGAGCTGCTGGGATTCAAGACTTGCCATGTTAAATTAGCCAAAGCTATATAATTATTCCAAAGATCAGAAACTGTGATTAGAGATCAATGTCCCTGTCTTAAATTTATATAAACTTAGAGAACCCCTGTAATAAATATATGTGTCAGCACTTGGGATTTTTATTATATATAAATTCAATTCAAATAATTATAGATATAAATAAAATAGAACAGAAAAAGCATGAACATACACCTTGGAGAGCACCTGCCTCCCCCTCACCTTGTAGATAAAAATACAGAGAGGTCAGATGTGATGAAGGTCTGGGATCCCAGGGGAGGATTCTGACCATTATTCCCCTCTGAAATCCACAGAGAGTGGGTGTGGGATACCTTTGGTCATTAAAAAGACTCTGAACTTCCAAACTGTTCTGCGGTAGCAGCATTGTGACACTTAGTTTTGTTGAATAGCACTCGAACCTCAATCCCTGGCCCTAGTTTGAGAAAAACTAGGACCAGCCAATGGTGGCCAATAACATGGGTATTTGGCCATCTGCCCCATCCAGTTATGCTTTACTTGGGAATTTAACCTTGTTGACTTGAAGAGACTTTCTATGCTTTAAGGTGGTTCAGGAAAAGGGCCAGGCATGTAATTTACATTTTTAGTGAAACCTGGTGGGAAGAGTGTGTCCTTGAGCCATGGTCTTTGTAATATAGGTAGACACATGCCTGAGCCCTTCCCTGAGAAGCAGTCATGGGTGTAGTATTGTATGTTATTGCCTTTTGCTTTGGGGTAACTTTTGTCAATGGCTTCTCCTCTAGATTTCGAATGCGCCAAGTCAACATCGTTGGTTCCAGCCCCTTCAGCCAGTCTTCTCGGGTCATCCAGACCCTGCAGGCCCCACCAGATGTGGCTCCCACCAGCATCACGGTGCGGACGGCCAGTGAGACCAGCCTGCGGCTGCGCTGGGTGGTGAGTTAGGGGCTGGAAGAGGGGCTGTGGGCCATGTTCTGAAGAGGCCGTGGCTTGCCAGGAAGCTCAGAGCTTAGCGATTCCTTAGTCATGTCTTCTTCATCCAAACTAATCCCATCGCTGAACCCAAAAGTATTACACATTCCAATTTTAGTGTAGGATCTAGAGCAGCCCAAGATACCACATTGATTACCAGCATTCCTCCCTCTCTTCTTGGGCCAGTGGCTGCTCTTCAAGAAGGAATGCAGACCATACCATGAGATGACCTACAAGTCTTTAAGCTCGGTCAACATGGAACCCATTCTTGGTAGTATTTGTAAGTGAGCCAGCCTAATGTTTAATTAGAACACCTCCCACAAAATTAAGCCAAAATGTATTAAAAGAAATTATGTCCAGCCCATTACTAACAGAGTTTCATTTAATTAGCAGAAGAAAAGTTTGAAAGAAAAATACAACAGAAGGGTCTAAGAATATTCGCTCCAAAAGGTGTTTTTGGTAAAATTGTCTGCATAAGCCAGGCTCGTTCTTTAAGACTTTGAAAGGTGATGATGTCGAGGTATCAGCTCTTCACAGACTGTCATTCATTGCCAGCCCCTGCCCGATTCGCAGTACAATGGGAACCCTGAGTCTGTGGGTTACCGAGTGAAGTACTGGCGCACAGACCTGCAGTCCTCTGCACTGGCCCAAGTCGTCAATGACCGTCTGGAGAGGGAGCTCACCATCGAGGAGCTAGAGGAGTGGACAGAATACGAGCTACAGATGCAGGCCTTCAATGCCATTGGGGCAGGGCCCTGGAGTGAGGTGGTGCGCGGCCGGACGCGGGAGTCAGGTGAGAAAAGGGCGGGGCTGGTCCTGGGGACATGGCCTCCCTGCCTCTCATTGGAGATGGGCCATGATGACCCTGAGTTCTCAAATTCCAAGGCAATGGCAGTTTATTGGCATGTCCCACTTGTGTCTTTGTTGGTGCACTCCATGCCTACTGGTTAGGCCAGGCGTGCCTACCACTCACTTCTTTGGTAGACCAGCCTCGAGAGAAATTCAGGTGAAACTTCACTGGAGCACCAAGTCATTTGTTTGAAGGTGCTGATGAATTCTGACAGGCTGGACACATTATGACTTTTTAAATTAGGAATAATTTTGCTATCAGTAATGAACATGAAGCATGCATAAAGATCCAATGGGGAAATCTTTAATCTGTAGTGTGTTCAGGCTCTCCCCTTCAGAAATCAGTATGGATAGTTTGTTCCGTGATTTGCTGCAGTAGCAGGTGGATCCCTAAAAGATCAATTACTTTAGCACAATAGAAGTTGATTTCTCAGTCTTAGGGCAGTCAGAGGTGGGCATCTTGGTGGGCGGGTGGGTGAGGGGCCTCTTCCAGGAAGTGACTCAAGGACCCAGACTTTGCTATACTATGGGACTAGTCATCATCTCTTCCCAGAGGAAAGAGAAAGAACAAAGAAGGGGCACATGTCCCTCTGAAAACCTGTAAAGAAATGTCCTAGTCACCCTGCTCCTCCCCTTTACGCTCGGTCACAAGGTACCGCTGATTGCCAGAGAGAAAACAACAAGTGTCTTTGGTTAAGACCAAGTGGTCTCTGCTGCAGTATGCTGATGACAAGCGTATCCCCTAGTCTTCTAGGCTTTACAGGGGGACTTTAGCCAGTCTCAGCATCTCTACAATCTTCATTTGTACAAACACAAAGGAAAGGGTACAGCACACACCCTGCAAAGACTGTGACAGGGACCTGCCCAGTCCACATCAACAAGGTAGTCTGACAAGGAAGGTCTCGATGCCCCTTCCCACCCTTGACAGATGTCACGGCATGAACTTGACATGTTGAGGAGTTGTTCATTCTAAACTGAATGAGGTTGTTAGGGAGAGCTCTTAGAGTAAACCCTGACATGAGTCCACAGAGTGAGGGAGCACTATGAACGATATCAGGAGTCCAAGGAGAAGACCCAGGCCCATCTCCTTCCCACAGGAAGTCCTCATCTATTTTCCTTATTGTCACCAAATACTTCTCTTTGGTAGCTGTGCCAAGCCTCGCTGTAGCTCTGTTAGAGACCCAGGGGTGTTTATTGAGACCTGTGTGAGATTCCTTCCTGCAGGCCCAAAGGGAACACATCAGAGAGATCACCCTGGGACCTGAGGAAAAACAGGAGGGAGGTAAGAAGCAGTGGTGCTCTCTGTGGCCATCTCTACCCACTGCACTGGAAAAGCCCAGGCCCACTCCCCAGCCAGAACCTCCCGCTCCTCTCCTCGTGCCAGGACACCACAGGAGGATGGCCCTTGTGGTGGTGGGACTGATTCCAAATAGAAAAATTAATTAATTAAAAATTTAAAGATTGAAAACTGCCTTAGGAGATACTTAGAATTCAGGGTGACTTTGACAGGAAATATTTAGAAGGATAAGTTGGGAAGGCCAAGTGCATGCCAGTGCCTTGAAGAAAAGTCTAGTCAGCCAGGTAGAGGGAGGTAGTGGACACAGTGGGCAGGTGTCTCCTGGGATGGCTGGAGGTGGCTTTGGAGCAGGCATCCTCCTTGGGTTGAAAGCAGTGGGGAAGCGGGAAGGGACAGGTGCATGGGAGCCCACAGCCTCTGGCATTCGCCTGCCCCAGTGCTGAAAAAGAATGCAAAAAACTGGGCAGCTGCTGCCATGGTGGCTGTGAGGTCTGCTAGGAGAGCAGGAGTGAGGAGGTAGCCTGCCTGACGAGGCAAACAGGGTCCCTGACACCCTGATGGCCAGACTAGCCCTCAGCTCTCCGCTACTTGTTACCAGTGCCTACTGGGCACTGTGTGGCTTTACCAGGTTGCCCCTGTGCCAAAATGCTGACCCCTCACCTCCAGGGGCTAGCTAGTAGGGATGCCGTTGGGTCTGCACACAGCTGCTCAGTATAAGGACAGAGGCCATTCCCTTGCATCACTATGTGGATATGGCTTGGGAGAACCAGGCAGAGGTTCTCATCTCATCCTCTTTGGTTCTTCCTGCCAATAACAGACACCAGAAGGTCAGAACTGACCCTGCCATCCTAGGGACCCATTTAGGTTTCTAGGGCACCTTGGCTGCTATTTCCAAGCAAAAGCCCTCCTAAAGTTTATGGCTTTATTTCTTCCTCATCTTTTCCTGGGTGGTAAGTAGAAGAGCTCCTCAACATAGCAGGGGAACACAGAATTATTGTCAAGTGGGGACACTCTCAGAATAATCTGAACCTCACAAGCCACTAACGAGACCACTGAGGAATCACTGGCATGGTGGCCAGCAGACCTCTGCTAGGGAAGGTGTTTAGAGAGGGTTTTGCAAGGTAAGGCTCACTTCCCACTACAGATCTTATTAGGTCAAAGCGAGAAGATTGAGGCATGCGGGATTTATGGCTCGTGACTGTGACTTGTGGGTTTTTTAAAAAACTCCATCATCTTTGACATCTGAGTCTTTGTGACAAAGAAAAGAACCTGAGAAATTTTAAGAGAGTTCTAAGCCCAGTAATAGGAAGACTTATCAAATTCTTTTAAAATAAATTTTTTGCTATTTCCATTTAGAAAATAGTAGATAAATGCAATTTTTCAAAAAAATTTCAATGTATTGATATACTTAGAAGGAAAACAGTGAAATCACCCAGTGTGAGCAGCATAAAGGGGACTGAAGCCTGAGAAGCAGGGCTGTGGGGGAAGGGGAGCAGCCAGTCCATCCCCATCCCATAAGGACTTGGGATTTGTTGCTCATGCAGAGCAAGAGGGTCACCTCCCAGTCTAGGGAGTGGGGATCAGGTCCTGAACTCCCATGTGAAGACAAGGTTCTTCCACAGGGAGGCTAAAAGTACCTGCCCACAGAGCCTGGCTGGCTGCCTACACTGTGGATGGGGAAAATTGTCTCCAAATCCTGTGCCTGACCCAAATGTGAATTCTGGGTGTACATTCTATGCATGGTCCTAGAAACTTCCCGAAGAGAAATAATGAATAATTTCATTCCAGAAACAAAAAGCACAAGCAACAAATGAAAAAATAGGCAAATTGGGGTTCATCAGAATGAAAATTTTGTGCTTCACAGAATACCATACAGAAAATGGAAAAAGAAAATGTTTCCACATCATGTATCTAACAAGGGGCTTGTATCTAGAATACACAAAGACTTCTTACTTCACAATGAAAAGACAAATGATTCAATTAAAAATCAGGCAAGTGCTCGAATAGACATTTCCTCAGAGGAGACAGACAAATGGCTAATAAACACATGAAAAGATGCTCGGCATTATTAGCCATTAAGGAAATGCAGATCAAAACCACAATGAGGTATCACTTCATACCCCTCAGATGGCTTAAGTAGAAAAACAATGGACATTAGCAAGTGCTGGTGAGAGTGTGGAGAAATTGGTACCTTACCCGCAGCTGATAGAAATGTAAAATGGTGCAGCCACTTGGGAAAGTAGCTGGTGATCCCTGAAAGATGAGCATAAAGTTCTCATGTGGCACAGTAGTTCCACTGCTAGGTACATGGTATGATCAAAAATTATACTTAATTTAAATTTTGTTTTTAAATTAATTATAGTAAAAGACAGATTGCCATTAATCCCCCTCAAAATATTCCCTCTCCCTTCACAAGTACTTAGCCTATCATGCTTGCCACTTTCTCAGGCGGTTCTAGAAGTCATCTTTCATAACGGTCTTTAGTTGCGCTGCCATGGCTGCCTTGGTGTCCTGAATTAACTCAGAATGTTTACCATTCGTGGTCATTCTGACTGTGGGGAAGAGCTAGAAGATGTGCTGTGCCAGATCCAGTGACTATGGTGGATGAGGGCACTTCGTGATGTTTTCATTTGACAGAAATTGCGGTCAGTAGTGTGAATTGATTCAGTTCATCAAGGCAACCACAAAAGACACACTCACAGAAGAGGGTATGGGGCTTCTTTTGGGGGTGATGATGTGTTCTAAAGTTTCTTATAGTAATGATTGCACAGCTCTGTGAACTGTATATCATAAATAGGTGAATTCTATGATAGGTGAATTTATACATGAATGCTATTTTCTAAAGAAAAGCTCAGCCTTCTGTAGATTAACTATATAGATTAAATGTTATTAAAATAAGTTACTTCATAGATTGTGCATTTTGCATATGGTCGGAAGCCCTGATTGTCCTCACTGCCCTTATCAGGTCACCCTCAAGGGGAACATCAACCCTTCTGAAACAGCTATGTGTTACACCCCAGTAGAGGACTGTTCTCTTTTCTAAAATAGATCAAAACAAAAAGGGAAATATAAAGGGAGGAAAAGCAGGGAAGGGGAGATGAGGGGGGACAAAGATGGGAAGCGAAGGGAAGGGAAGGGAAGGGAAGAGAAGGGAAGGGAAGGGAAGGGAAAGGAGAAGTTAATTTCAGGTCAGACTTTGTGTGCAGCCAACAAAAGCAAATATAACTTCTCTCTGGACAAATGTCATAGCCAAGTTGCACAAGTGAAAATCAAGTCTTTTTTTAATGAATCACAATTATGAAATGCATGAGGATATAGTCTACCACAAGTAAACATGAACAGTATTTTTAAAGAAAGATCAAGGGCCTTGATTGCTGTAAAGTACATGCTGGTCTTAAAGAGAATATATAATAAGTACCTTTTAAATTATCATAATCTTGAATTATTAAAAGAAAGCATTAGAACTTTGAAGATTAAAATACCATTTTTAAGTTAAATTGATTTTTGGAAAGAACCAAATAGGACATAGGCATTGAAAGTAAAACTCTATGGTTGAGGCAAAAAGCAGTTTAAACTCTGCTAAAGCCAACTACCAAACTGGAAGCTGTATCTGAGTCAGTAACTCAAGTATAGCACAAAAACATAGAGATTGACAATAACACAGAGATTAAATGGCAAAGAACAAAGTGAAAGGATCTAATAGAACTCCAAAATAGAAAGGCAAAGAAATCTGCATAGATCTGCTGAGAAAGTCCAGAATTGGTGAAAGATATTATCACTCTAAAGAAGCAGGAATGTTGATAAATCCACTCCAAAATGTATTGTGGTACAGCTATAAAACACTACTAAATCCAAAGAGAAAGCTGTAAAAACCATTGGAACAAAAGACAGATAACCCAGAAAGGTAACTGCAATAATTTGACTGATGTGATTTCTTAAGGGCTATAGGGCCAGCGAGTGGCTAGTTAATCATCTTGCAGGAGCTGAAAGAAAAAGATGATGAGCCTCAAGTTTTGCATCCACTAAACTATTTTTAAAGGCTTTCATTCAGAAAACAACAAAATTACATGTTCTGTAAAAATGAAGAAAATGTAATAAGGACTAGAAATATTGTTTTGATAACTTTGCAAAGAATACTCTTTAAAAACAGTAGACCAATGTAAAATTGCTGAGTTGGAGCTATGTTTCCTACAAACATTTCTAGCTTTTGAAACCTATTTCTACAGTATTTTTTTCCTGTCTTTGTTCTCTTAGACAATCACATATCTCTTTTATGGTAACTCTGAGGAAGCTTTCTCAAGCTGTGTTGTTTATTTTTGTAGGATAATATTGAGGAATAGACTTCACAGCAAGAGAAGCATAGTGGATTTGGCTTTGTTTTAAATTAACTGACTCATGTGTAGCTGGAGGGGAACTGTAAGAAGCCCATGCAGAATGCACTATTGACTGAAGCAGGGTTGTGTTCAGTTAACTCATTGAGAAGGTTTCTGAGCAAGAAGAAGAATCATTCTTGCAGCCGAAGTTTTGCTTTGTGAGTCACCCTGTCCTTTCTTCTGAGGATTATGATCTACAGAAAATTCTCTTTTAGATTTCCATTGAATTTTTTTTGTTGAGTTAGAAACTTCAGTGCAACACATTTCCTTGGGAAGAAGAGTTTTGGTTCAAGTATTCTCATCACAAATTAAGCAACTGTGTTATTGATCTCCAAGATGTGGACTATTAAGTTTTCAGACATCTTTAGTGCTTTAATTGTGGACCCCTCAGGACCCTTTCTGAGCTAATCTCTGCTCTGCTAGGTATTGGTTCTCAGAGTTTACTCCAAGTACACACACATGCCAGGGAACATTTGGGTGCTCCTCCAGCACCGTGGGTCCTGTTGGACTTTAGCTCCTCTACCTTCTGGATAGTGCTAAGAACCTCCTTCCCTGGGGACTCCTTCCTCTGGCTGCCAAGGCCATTCTCAGTGCAGCAGCCTGACTCCTTGCCTGCCTTCCTCCTAGTAACGTCTAACACTCACCGTCCCCCAGCAAAGAAATCTATCCCGCCCAGTCTAGCTCAGCACTTTAGCTGGGGAGATGGGAGGTGGGTGACAGTCACAATGGCTGAGCCATGAGGCCAGTGGGAGGGGAGGGCTTGTAGAGGGAGCTGAGGAGTTAACAGAGCTGCCAGTCACTGTCCATGTAAAAGTCTCACATCAATGGAAACCGCAGTTCCTTGAAATCTTCAAAAAGACGGCTGGAAACATGGAGAGGACACCTTGAGCCACATTTAAATGAAGTTTACAGTTTTGAAGTACACTCCAACAGGTTCTACGATGTCCTGTGATGTATTATAGAGATAAATGAGGCTTTAAAAATGAAAAGAGGTGTATCCAGAGCAGCAGTGAACTGCACAGTGAGACTCCTGTAGAGGAGAGAAGACGGGTGGGGAAGGAGAAAGTGAGCACTTGGGATGAGTTGCTGATGAAAGGGAATGTCTAGGAACATCTGATACTTAAGATGTTGGAAAAGAAGTTCAATCTATCTCAAAGTAAGTGATGGGTAAGCTTTTGTTTTTCAAATCTTAAAATAATGCCTGGTACCCAAATGGCAGATTTTGTCTGATTAAAATTTGAATTAGCTGAAATTTTAATCCTGAAATTTGCCATTTTCTCTCTTCTACCAGCCCACCTCCCTCGCCCCTTGTGGGAAATTCAGCCATGTTCAAAGCGCAGAGTCTGAGTTGCTAAAGCCATGAGATCGCTCCGGTTCTCCGGGACGTGGCTGGTTCTCTTGTAAATGGATGTGTCTGTTACCTACCACATCTTGGAAAACCAGCAATCATTTCTGGATCTGTAGTGAGAAGTGAGCACTTACAGCTCTAAAGACTGACCTGCAGGAAACAGTTCAGGGTCTGAGAGGTGGACCAGTTGGGTTGTCATGACAATGGCCCCTCTCTTTACAGATGGGGACAGGTTTTAGCACACAGCACTAAAGTCATGGGCATACGGTACATCTGGTGTTCTCATTTTAATAAAGTCAGATCAATTATAGGTTTACCTTTCTTTCAATGATAGTGACTCCTTTAATTCTAGTTGTTTCAAAGTCCTGGCTTATTACTCTTTTTTAATAAAGTAAACATATGTATAAACCATTTCCTTACAACAGCCACAGAGACATTAAGACACACCGGTGGAGCCCTTGCAGGCTGGGGAAGCGTGTGTGAGTCACACAAGCCATAACTGGGCAGCATCTGGGATAAGCGTCTTTCCTCTTCAGAGAAGTGATTACACTGAAAATTATAAATGTTCCTTCTATGTGACATATCTGCTCAAACACAAGGATTATTTATTTGTTGAATGACTAACAGAAAGAATGGTTCTCCCCTGATGTATCTGAGAAGAGGCTTATCTGCTAGGTCGAGCTGACCAGCATTCTGTCCTTCCAGTGTATAAGGAGGGTCGCTGCAGCCTGTCCTAGCGGCTAGAGCAGGCACCTTTTCTGTTTCGTGAACACACCCATGGGCCTGCCCTGAAGGTAATCCAATGCCAGAGGGCCAGGGTTAGGGTCCAAGGCGGGTGCCTCAGGCTGTGGCTTGCCTGAGACCTTCTTTCTTCCTTACCCCACCCCACAGAAATGACTAGCTGTGGTAGGAACCTGATCAAGCTTGCCAAACTCCTAGGACTTTTATAAATATTGGCATTTTGTCATAAAATGGATGTTAATGTTTTAGCAGAGTACCCCAAAGCCAGTGACTGAAATGACAGAGATACATTTTCTCACAGTGCCAGAGGCCAGAGTCTGAGGTCCAGGGTCCAAAGGCACCAGAGTGGCTCTGCCCCAGTCCCTCTCCAGCCTCTGGGGGTTCCTTGGCCCATGGCAGCATCTCTCTCATCTTCCTATGACGCTGTCCTTGTGTGCATCTGTCCCATATTACCCCACCGTGTAAGGACAATCATCAGTTGGATTAAAGGTACAGCCTCCTCTGTCATCACTACATCTCAACATTCTTGTTCCAAATGCATCACATTTTGAAGTACCTGGAATTGGAACTCCAAGATAAGAATTTGGAGAATCACAGGATTCAGCTTCTGACAAAGACCAGTGCATTTCCACATAGGGCATAGAGCAACTCTATGGCAGAGAGCAGCATTACAGTGCAAACCCACAATCCTGTCTGTGTTAAGGGTACTGGAACCGCCCTCACAGCCTCTGCCACAAGAAGAAAGCCTTAGGGCTAGGTGAATGAATGAAGGAAGGAACAGGTCATGGAAAGAGAATCAGGAAAGCCCCTGGATTGGGTTCAAGGAGCCCACTGTCATGGAGCCCTGTAGGCCATGCCTTCCACACCCAGCAATACTTTCATCCTTACATCAGGGGCAGGGCTTACAGTACCATTGCTTCTCTGTCTTCAGAACTAATGCTGCAGGTTGTCTGCTACATGACAGTATTGGGCACCAGGAAAGGGAGGGCTGGGCTATCACACCCACCATGAAATGCAGTGAAGTTTAAGTGTGTCTCCTCCTCCTCCTCGCCCTGGTATAGCGTGACCATGAAGCTCAGGCTCAAACCACCCCTTTGCTCCTGGCATGTTACAGTAACTGGTGCATCCTCTGACTTCCCCAGGTCCATTTTCTCCAGGAAATGAGCTGCCTTTGAAGCACAAGTGAATCTACAAGAAAATTAGTGAAGCAACTGAGATTACCTAGTGTAAATTGCTTGTTTTTAAGGCTTCGCTGTTGTCTTTATACAGTTTAGATCTGCAGCTTAGCATATATAGCAAGACAATTAGTGACAATATAAACAGAGGAAAGATCCTATACAGGCAGGAAAAGTATGTTACATGCACAAGGGTCAGGAATTACACTGCTGGCTCTGCAGGCCATCCGTCTCACTGGCAAACATTATTTTAGATACAGGATGAGTCTCCTCAAGCCTCAGGCCTCTCATCTGTAGGCAGCTGTAACACCTGCCTCACTGGCTCACCAAAGGGATTATACTCGATCAGGACTCTGAGGACACCCAGCCAAGAGACAGCACGTGGCAAACCTCCCCTCCTCTTCTCTGGGCACATCACAAGATCATCCCTCTGTCCAGTCCTCCTGTCCCTGTCACTGAATGCCATTAAGAGAAGTCAGAGAGCTGTGTCTGTCTGAAAGTGAGGATTCCTATTTAAGATAAAAGCCTTCAGGGCCATGAGTTATCACAGAAGACAGACTGAGCATATTTTCTTGCTGGGTGGACTCAGGTAAAATTGAGCTCTAAATACCCAGGATTTATGGAATTTGTTGCTAATATTAAAGAGATTTACATATCTGTTATACTCCTGCAAGTTTAGTCTGACTCCTACAAAATGCTCAGAATATATCACTATTTCAAGAACAACTTGATGATTCGAGTGAAAATTTTATTTATTTATTTATTTATTTATTTATTTATTTATAGAAGCATTTTAGACTTTTGGTGGTAATCAGTATACCTCATTCTTTGCAGTTCCTTCAGCTGCCCCTGAAAATGTATCTGCAGAGGCCGTCAGCTCAACCCAGATTTTACTGACATGGGCATCCGTCCCTGAGCAGGACCAGAATGGGCTCATCCTGGGCTACAAGGTACATGTTATGTTGACCTTGCTGTCTTAAGGTGCTACAGGCAAGGAGCCACCAACCCAGGGCAGTGTCTGCCCTCTCCCAGGTCTGCAGCAATGGCCAGGGTCCTGATTTTTACCATTGCTTGTCTAAGCTTGTTACAGTCTGGGAAGAAGACATTGGTATGACTGCTTAACAGATACCTCCACATTCTAAAGTGAACCTAAAGTTAGACTTGGGCTTATATTGCAAAGCTCAAGCCCTGGCTCTGCCCTCCCGGGGCCAGATTCTTACTCTGCTCCTCTGTCTCCTCTCTTGTAAAATGCAAATAAAGATAGCAGCTACTCCCCAGGGTCAGTTTGAGAATCAAGGGGTCATTTATGAAGTGCTCCCTGCTCGTGCTAAGTGCTGATAAGCATGGACACACATGGTTGTGTGTGTGTTGTTGCACATGTCCTCCCCGCAGGGCAGTCCAAGACAGTGGCACTGTGAGTTGTCCCAGCTTCTCAGGGCTCCACCTTCCATGCACATCCTGGACCCTTTAAGGCCTGCTGTGTCCTGTGCACCAATCAAGGGTGATACGTACTGTCTCTAGGCCCCTCCCCCTCTGCTCCACTTACCAAGAAGCAGAATGAACACCTTGGATTTGGCCAGGAAGGCCACACTTCTTTCAGTCTCTGCTCCATGATCGTGAGCAGGCCTCCTTTCTGCTTTTCTGCAACTTGGATGCCTATGATTTGGCTACCCCCACCAGTTCTCATAAATCTTCCCTCTGCCCTGAGCATTCTGATTGTTCCTTCTGGCTCCATAATGCATGACAGGCCATCCAATGTGACAACCTTGTGACAAATGGCACTCCCGCAATTCATGGCAGGTCTATGATATGTGACAATGTGATATGTTGCTGCCCCATCATATAGGACCATGCTGTGATACATGGCAGTGTCGTGGTGCTTGGCAGTCCTAGTGAGTGGGCTCAGTGACCAAAACTCTGTGTCACATTACTGGGTCTCAGTGAAAAGTGCTTGCTGTGCCACCTTCAAACTCTTCCCTGATGACCGTATCTATCACTTCCAGATCACAGATCACAGGGAGCTGCTCAGAGAGGGTGGGCTAGCAGGGAGAATGTGGGACCTAAGTGAAAGATTAAGGCCCTAGAGGACACGCTGGGTGCTATGCCTGTAGCTGGAGCTTGAGGTTCACATGAGAGCAGACAGCCTTCTGGGATGGCAACTTAGTTTCCATGGAACTGGGAAACCAAGTGGCTGCTGGCTGCTGGCTGCTTTGTGGCAGCATAGTATCTCCCAGTCCTTGTGTTAGTGGATGCAGTTGGTACGGCAGCACTGGAGTGCTTCAGACCTTGCAGACTGTGACCAGGCAGCCAACTTGCCAAGCTGTGGCTGTTTTAATTCAAGCCACCCTTCTGGAGTACAACCACTTCATCACCATCTTCCTCCCTGCATGCCAGCCCACAGAAATTACATCCACGGGCCTTTACCACAGCTGCCGTTGGTAAGGAAACTCAGGAGGCCGGCGCCCACAGAGGCCTTTTCTTATGTGTGTTGGGGTTGTAACCACCTGTGCTCATGTGTTGATGCTTTAGATCCTGTACCGGGCCAAAGACCTGGATCCTGAGCCCAGAACTCATGTCGTGCGAGGGAACCATACACAGTCAGCGCTGCTGGCCAGCCTGCGCAAGTTCGTGCTGTACGAGCTCCAGGTGCTGGCTTTCACCCGCATTGGGAACGGGGTACCCAGCTCACCCCTCATCCTCGAGCGCACCAAAGATGATGGTACGTGTGGGGTTAGTACCCACGCTGGCCTCACTGCCCCTCAGGTTTGCTTTGCCAATCCAAACAATTTGGATTGTGGTCATTTTAAAAGTAATTTTCCAACCACTTTTTTTCAGTTGAAGGAAACAAAACAAAATTGTTTTTCAGTCACTGAGCATTTATATGGCCAATTTCAGCCTGGAGTGGATTTTTATAGCCTGATTATGAAGCTATGCAGAATTTCAATCGTAACTCTGCTGTGGGCAGTGTCGGCGAGAAGTGGGTTGGTCTGAAATGTGAGCTGCTCGTCTTATGGTTCTCAAATCTAGTTAAAAGTCCACTCTGGACATAACAGCTCCAGGGCTCCTGGGACTTGTGGGCCTCCCTGTTTGTATCTTAGGAGATAGTTGCCAGTTCCCATGTACCAAGCAGTGTTCTTGATAGCTCCCAGGGTCCCTGGGCCCTGTGTTTCCAGACTAAGAACATGTATGGCTGCTTTGTTTTTATGGAAGTCTAAATCACCAGAAAATATGTTCTCCCACTTTGCAAACGTCAAAGCTTTAAAGGTTACCTCCTTTACATTTTCATTATTAAACAGACTGCAATGAAGATGTCAGGGGCAATATACTGATCCCCCCAAAACACCCACCCCAGGATCAAACGCATTTGACAGAAGGAAAACGACTGCGGGTTTCCTTAAGCATCTTTCTGAAGTCTGGACCAATGAGTGCAGACACCGTCTACCTACTGGGTGGGAAGTGTTCTTCATGGTTCTTGGAGAGCATGAGAGTTTCCTTCCCCAGCTCAGGGTCACAGGGAGGGGAGGCATCCAGTAAGAGAAACGGGAAATGGGCATCTGGCAGGGTTTTGTTGAGAGGAAAGGCAACCTGCACAACATTCCCATGTGCTTCAGGTTGCTACTCTAGGGAGAAGCAGGAACCTCCATCTTAGAAACTGCTCCTCAGCTCTGACTCCGCCACCCTCGCTTTTCCTCAAAGGCACATTGCTACCTAGTGTAGACGTGTCACTCCTCTGCCTCACTTCTGTGTCCTTCAGACGACCAGCCTTGGCACGGCTGAGATCAGTGCTGCCCATGTGTTCCAACCTTGGGCCTCCTTCAGACATTTTTTTTGCCCAAACATAGGTGTCATAACATACATTCAAGGTTTAAACTATTGTTCTCAGCTTAATACCCAGAGGCAGAATTCAGCCGCCTGAATGACTGCTGCCCACGCCACAGTGTTTCTGTACCATTGCTCCGTGCCCTCTGCCTCTTACTGAGGAACAGTCCATGATTAGAGTCCAGGGAGAGGTCTCACACTGCCACACACCACCTGGCCTGTGCACTTAAGCAAATACATTTTACAAGGGCTATGACCCTATTACTCAGTGGCTGCACAATACAGAGCTTCTTTGTGAATTACCGGTGTGCCGAACTACCCAAAAGAATTATTAGATGCACTTGTGCACATCAACTCTTCATGCTCCAGGACAAAGTCAGAGGGGGAGGGGTGACATGCACAAGAGGAAAAGCACTGATTGCCAACATGATGTCGCATCAGTGGTTGTGACCTCCATTCTGAGGTGGAAGGGACTTGAGGTCACCTTGTCTGACACCTGCTCTGTGGAAATCAAACCCTGTAGAGGAATCTGAGCTCAGACAAGAGGGATCTTCACTTCCAGCTTGATGGACACTCTTACTGGTTTTGCAGGGTCCTATCTGTACACTCACTGTTCGCTGTTTCTAGCACAGTTCATGAGCAATGTTTTCAGAACTTGGAAGAAGATGGACAGGATCCAAAATGAGGTGATTTTCTAAAATTATAGGGAGCCACACTGAGTGGGTTAGGTTCTAAAAGTCATTCACTAGAAATTTGGACACATTCCATTCACAAACAGTGTCACAGGGGTAGACACCATGCACAGCTGACCTCGACATCCCATGTGTACCTCCTTACTGTGCTTTCCCACAGCCCCAGGCCCCCCAGTGAGGCTGGTGTTCCCCGAAGTGCGGCTCACCTCAGTGCGGATCGTGTGGCAGCCCCCAGAGGAGCCCAACGGCGTGATTCTGGGTAAGGAGCAGCGGGGGAGATAGGAGAAAATCACACTTGGATGTTTTTTTCTGTTTCTACTAGGTAGTTATGGGCATAAAAAACAAAGCTTTACACTAGAATTTTTTTGTGGGATGAACTTTACAATTTATTAATCCAGGATTTCTTCCATTTGTTCGTGGTTCATGGCAACACCCTTTGTAATGGGCCTGTGTCCACCATGCATCTGAGAAGGAGCAGGCCAGTTTCCCATAGATGACACAGAGCTGGGCCTTGTTCCCGAGCTCCTGGGAACAGCGCTGCCCTGCTCTGAGGCTTGCACCTGATCCTGGAGAGGAGCTGCTGGGCTCGGGGTCCCAAGAACACGTTCACCTTTAAGTTTTCACTCAGAGAAACAATTCTGATAACACTGATGAAAAGCTTCAATTTTTCCCAGCTCCCAAAGGTGGCACATTATATGTTAAAATATCATCAATTCCTTTATTTATTTACCCTTTCACCCAGGCAAATGGAGGACTGTGTGTGCCAGGTGTTGTATGCACAGTGGGAAACAGAACTGAATAAGAGCTTTCCACCCTTGCCCTTGGCCCCATCAGGCAATGACACAAGTAACAAGCCTGTTCACTGAGTGCCCCACAAGCCATTCATGGGATCGGGGTCTCAGTGGGGGGATCCTGAGGCAGAAGTCCACTTTTGAGCTGGGTGCTGAGGAGAAGTGGTTTCTGCAGGCCTGGAGGAAGGGAAGAACATCTGAACTGTCCCCAGGCCAGGCCCTGCAACGAGGTGTGGCCAGCGTTCAAGTGGGCACTTAAGAGCATCAGGTACAGAACATCACTGTAGACCTAGGTCAGCACTCCTGTGTGACATTTACCCAATCCAGACACAGGAGATCCTCATTCGGTTAGCTTGTGTTCCAGATGATTTCTGGTAAAATCTCAAATCTGACCTTACAAACAAATCACCACTTTTACCTGCTTTTGATGTTGGAGTCTAGGGTATGGTTTAAAGAATGGGTTTTATTTTATTTAAAGGAAAAAAGTTTTTAGCCCTGTGCCGATCACAGTAGGGAGCCATCTGGGGACTCTGGCAGGAAAGTGACACAATCAAGTTTATCTTCTGGGTAACAACTTTGGCAGCCAAAAGAAGGTGGCCTGAAAGGCAGATATTTATGGAGCACTTGTTTCGTTAAGTTGGGCCAAGAGCCCTCTGTGTTTTCCACACAGGAAGGCTGTGGCCTGTTTTCCCTGTGACCTTCCTCTGTGGGATTCCTGGAGCTCCCTGGTAGAGTTTGCCATGAGTCATGCATTTCTGACTTGAAGGACCTTTGCACTCACAGGTTCTTGCTGCCTAAATCACAGTAAGCAGCCATGGAAGTCGCTTGTTGGAGGGAGCATTTCAGGGAGCAATGGCAGGCAGGGAGAGCAGTCCTCAACATGGTACCTAGCAGCACTCTCTTTCAGAACAAGCAGGGCTGAGTATCCAAGTAGCCCAGAGTCATCCCCAGCACACCATGGCGAAACAGGAGATGGCTCTAGAGGTGGAGAATGTGGGCTTTTGATCTGTCACAGTTCTCAAGTCCCCAGCACTGTTCTCTGGGAAGAAGCAGCACTCAGGACCTCCCAGACAACTTGTGACTCTCTGGACAACTGCATGCATGTGTCACAGCCACATTGGTCCACAAGCTCAGCTCTGGCTGTGTGGCAGGCATGCATCTAGCTGCACTGCCATGCAAGGACCCCAAGTTCTGAGCTGTGTTATGAGTTAGAACTGTCCACCCAGGCTCCTCCTGCAAAGATGGGCAGCTCTGGCCTGGACCAGTTCTGCCTGTAGAGACCCCTTCTCCAGCACCTCTGCTCCTCCTGCCAGACACGGGGCAGATGTCCTCATGGTCCACTTTCTGTGGCTCCAATTGAATACCATGGACTGGGTAATTTATGGAAAATAAAAATTTATTGGGCTCAGGTTCAGAGTGCTTCTATAAGCAGGAAAACAAATGTTAGAGACACCTGAAAAATAAATAACAAGATTAAAAAATGAACTGAGTCCCATTTGGACAGTGAGACTGGGTCCAAAGAGCTTCCAGCTTCTTCTGGTTCAAGAGAAACTGTAGAATATTAAACACAATTAAAGCTGGATCTATAAAAATGCAGGTTTGCTTAAGCTCTGGGGGCCAGGAGGTATGAAGTGGAAGGGCCTATTGGATGAGAGCCTTCTCTCCGTGGGGAAGTCTGCAGAGTTCCAAGGCAGCACAGGGCATCAAATTGTTATGGGTGTGTGTAAGAGACGGCCGAATTGGACTTGTCACATGTTTTGTTTTGTTTTGTTTTGTTTTGTTTTGTTTTGAGAGAGGGTCTCACTAAGTCACTAAGTTGCCCAGGCTGGGCTTGAACCTGTGATCCTCTTGCCTCAGCTTCCCAGAGTGCTGGGATTCCAAACATTCACCACCACACCCTACTGAACCTCTTTCTCCAAATAAACCATTAATCTGAATGAATTTCCCATTTATGACAGCAGAGCCCTCATCATCTGAAAAAGGCCCCACCTGCTTCCACCTCTTAATACTTCCCCAAGCAGGTGGGCTTTCAGCCTGAGCTCTATCTGCACGTCCTCTGGGCTACAGGCTCGAACGCTCCTCCCTCTGCGTGTGTCTCTCTAGCTGGAACCTGTCGTACTGTTCTCAGAGAAGGCATGATGCTCTTCTCAGCACAGCACAAGTCTCATTGTCTAGATGAAACTCAGCTCACTTTAAAATTATTGAGAGCCCTTCTTGGTCCTCATCATGGTCCGAGAAGTTCATATTTGTAATCCCATGGAAAAGTTAGTGGAACTCTAGCAAGTTAATTCCAATCTACCACTACCAGTGCAACACATGGCAAAAATAAGGACACTAAGGCATATTTATAGTTGTGGGGAGCCAACGGGACCCTAAGTCCAGCTAGGGTGATGGCTAACCAGAACAAAAGCCTTGACCCAGGGCCAAACCCAGGTTTTATTAATTCATGCAGAAGGGAGTGACTCGAAGATGAGTGACTGTGAGAACTGCGGGAAGTAGGTGAATGCTATGAGCTGGGCTAGGTAGGAGGCCTGAACCAGCTCTGCAATATGCAAAGAGATGGATACACAGAAAGAATAATCTGCATAACACAATTTCAGGTAGTATCTAATGTTTAGCGTTGGTGCCTCAGCTATGATGTGTAATCTTTTGTGCCCTGGGAAGTCATAGCCTCTTATCTCAAGGCTCCATCCCAGCCAATAGCATGGAGCATGGCTCTCCATACCGCCCAGCTCGCACATGTTTTTTTGGGAGCTACAGGGGCAGAGTAACATTGCCCTGTTCCCTTGCTTCAAAGACTACACATCAGCACCTCAGCTAGACCGATTTGCATTGCTTAAAGCCAACTGAAGGGATAAGGAAAAGTCCTAGCCAGCTCTGTACATATTAATACATGGAAATAGGGCCAGGTTTAGCCAAGATGGAGATAATTGCTCTTCTTTCAAGGAGAGTCATCCAGGTCCTCCACACAAAACCTTATCATTTATTTTTCAGGGTATCTTTAACATTTGTTTTTCTGATTATGAAAGCACTCTAAAATTAAATTTAGGCAGCAGTGACATACCAGCCCACATTAATCAGCACAGTCCAATGACACCAATAGGCCTTAGGGTGTGGGAGACCAGGACCCCCAGACACCCTGGTCAGAATGTGGCCATGCCTAGGGTAGGTGGTCACAGCCACACTCTCTGTCCCAGTCAGTGTCCACTCCTAGGCCATCTGCTCAAGACTCCTGCACACATACCCAGAGCTCTTCACTGCAGGTTTGTTTAAAGGGCAAAGAAGAAAGCAGCTGTCATCCTCTACAGTTTGTGGGGCATGGATCTGGAGCTACCTGCTTGTGTTTCTCCTGGGTTTTATGCATTGTACTGTGGATGGGCAAGGTGTGAGAGTGAGTGTGGTTTTAGAGTCAGTAGCCATGTTGGGGTTCAGACCTCAGCCTACAGTTCACTTGCTGAGTACATTTATGCAAGTCGCATGGCGTTCTTGTGCCTCGGTTTCCCAATCCCTCAGAGAGAAATAACACTTGCACTTTCCCCATCGAATCAAATGGGCTGCACATACAGCACTCAGAACCAGGCCTACCACACAGTCAGCACTGAGTAAATGGTAGTTCATCGCCTCAGGCCAGAGGCCCCTTGGACCAGAGTGGCTCACTGGGCCTGAGGCTTGGCCCAGTTCTGGTGTTTTCTTTGTGTACCCCAGCGGTTTGTTGGGCTGACTTATTCTCCATCACTCTGATTGCTGGAGCCAGGGATTCTTGCTGACAAGAGAGGAAAACCTAGAAAGTCAATTTGGGCAGCAAAATCATCCTGATGTGGGCTGAAAAAGCCCAGGTTTTGGTTTGCAGTCCGTGGAGAGGGGGATCACTGAAAATCATAAAATCCCATATAAGGAAAATATATTTAAATACTTCTAGTACCCCAATGGTGGCAAAAACAGATGCTAAATCAAACTTTGCGGGGTCTGCCTGTAATGCAGAAAGCATCCCATTTAATCCTGTTTTGTTGTAATGGCATTTAGCTGTAGCAGATGTTGTTGGGGTAGCCTGTCACCAATATGTTATTACAGCCAGCGCACCAAATTGTAGGTGCAGTAGGAAAGATGGGAAAACAGTTTCTAAAGATTCAGGTTGGTGTTCAGAGGGGAAAAAGGAAACCATCTCTTTGCACGACTCACTTTACATCCAGAGACCTTGAATCAATGTTCCCACCTGGCAGCACAGCCTTCTGAGTGTATAAACGACTCTGTGGCTGGTGCTTTTGTAATCTATATCAAAACATGTTCTTGCATTTCCAAAAAAGATTAACAGCATGAAACACTGGCAGGCGCCTGGAGGGAAAAACACTTGCTTATTTACGTAAATATTTTACTATGGAGAGCTTTTAGTGTTTAGAGCCTTTCTTAGGGGGATGTGCGGAGCCACCCAAGTGCGGGCATCCCTCCTCACTTGCCAGACTGCTCCATG